CTTTTCTCCTGAACAGGAAGATCCTTTTTAGAAATATTTTTTATAGTTACGTGGGAAACAGACCAGAAAATGTTCATCTCTTAGATGAACTAATTCACTATCCTTACACATGAGAGGATTCCCTGCTGACAGCTCCCACAGGGAACTCAAACCTCTCATTTCTGTGATACCTGTAATGTTAGTGCACAATTGCCAAGTTAAGAGCCATGCAATCTAAGGGCATAAGGAAGACTAAGTTATTGGCAAGCGAAGCATCTAGAATAGCTGTCAAAATTCAGCTACAAAACCAGACAAAGATAACACAGATACTCCTAATTTTAGTCAAGTAGAAGGAAAACGGAAAGTTGTGCATGTCAAGTAAAAGGGGAAGTATTTATGGCTGCAAATATAATTGACTTACCTCTTCAGAAACCCAGGACTCTTGTTGGGCAGAAACCCAGGACTCTTCAGCTAACCAGGCTGCAGCGATTCCTCAGGGAGATCCAACTGAAGCAGGCAGAAGGCTGGCGTTCACTCGGTGCGGTTCAGCCCCTACCTGACTATATTCACAAACACCTTAGAGCCTTTTCCCTCATCGCTGAGTCACTCAGGGAGGAAGTGGGTGGTATGAAAGAGGGTGTCACCTTATACAAATACCACTTCAATTAAAACAGTCTCACCCATGGACCTGCTGCCTTTATTTGGCAAATTCTTCATGTAATTTATGACCTTGTTATGCCCAAGTGCTTCGGTTATGAACCTTCTTTCTTCTATTGTGCTATCAACAACACACACATCTCTATTATGACAAGGTATCACAGTATCCAAGCTATTCTGAATTCTCCTTTAAAAAGCAAAACAAAACTCTTGAGAAAAAATTGCCCACAGTCCCTGGAAAGCGAGGGCCCAGACAACCACACAGGGAGCCATGACTTGATTAGCACAGAGGTCCTGAGGAAGCCACAGGCCCTAGAACTGGAAAACATGGGCGCAATATGTTACACAGATTCTGTGCATGGAATATTTTGCAGTACTATGAGAGGAAAACTACATCCTGAAATATGAGCATTCTGATCCTTGTGTTTCACTGTGTGTAAAAGATGTGGAAGGAAGGATTGAACTTCTCTTACACCTTAGGGCGCCATTGACTTCCGCATCAAAGCTGCTTCTCCTGGGGGAGGGATAACAGAAGAGTCATTCTGGGTGGCGGCTTCTCACAGGCCCTGCAATGTACTTGTCATAATAGTAAAGGACGTTTTAGAGAAGCTTAGCAAGCTTGGAACTTTGCCAAAAGAAGCTGGGTCATCAGAACTTCCTGGGTCATCTGTGTTCTTCAGTCATTCCAAGCACTACCCAAATCCTTGCTGTAGGACTCCTACAAACTACAATCCAGATGAGTGAGGCCTGTAGCAGCGACCAGAAGAAGTAAGAACATCCAGATAGGAGGGTGAGGAAATTGCAGTATAGACTGCAACTGGGACATCACTCCCATAAAATATCCTTATCCTGGGCTGAAGAATTTGAAAAATCTAAAAAAATAAAAATAAAATGTCCCCCCAGCATGTACATATATCTGGTACTCTCATGGAGTTTGATATACAAAAAAATCTTAAAAATAGGCTTTAAATTTCTGTGATACCCATAAATGTTGATTGGATTGAGGATGGATATTAACACTACAAATTAGAAAGTTGAAAAACAAGGATGCAATTTGGCTTAGCTTAGAAAATGAACTAAAAGACATATTCAGCACTAGAATTGAGTTGAAATTGTGGCACTAAATACTGTAAGAGCTGTCTCATAGTAACAAGTAGTAACTGACATTATAGAATATTTCAATATATCAATTGGCTTTATCAAATATAAAACCAGAAAAATAGTCCCTTATTTTATAACAAAATAAAGTACAACTATCCAATGTGCATGTAAGACTTTTGAGCTACCAAGCAGTAACTTCTGCCTATAATGAAGGTCTCTTACTTTATGTACCAGGATACTTATAGCACTAATGCACGCAAGTAGATTTGGTTTCATTTAGAACCAAATCTGTGTTCAGAAAAGGGCTAATACTAAGCACCTGGGGTGAGTACAGGCCTATTAATGTGGAACAGACATTGAGCAAGACTGCCTACCAGTAATCTCAGCATGAAGGGGTCAACTGAAGAATGTGTCTGGGTGTGGAGATGGGCAAAAAGGCGTGGCCTTCGACTCACTCAGGCCTTGAACCAGAAGTCTGGAGCATGCTTAGCATACCTCAGCTTTACCACGCCTATTTCACTGATTGTCAGGGCTCTTGAGGGCTCTTTAGAACAGAAGCTCCGAGAGTGGATGGCAAATGGCTTTAGGTCAGGTCCCATGTCAACTGAGGGGGACAGCTGCCTAGAGAGATACGGTAAGGTTTTCAAAGTAAGATTGGGGCTGGGGCCAGCCTGAAGCTCAGTGGACTAACACATCTGCTTAAGCAGAGTGCAATGGCCAGGGTTCAATCCTGGAGTGCTGTGCTGGCCCCACCCCCGGGGCGTGCTGAGATGAGACTGGGCATGATGTTGTACACCTGTAATCCCAGCACTTGGGAAGCTGAAAACAGGAGAATCACTATGAGTCCAAACTATGTGGTGAGACCCTGTAGACCCTGTAGACCCTGTCCTAAAATACAGAAAAAAGGTAAGATTGGGACTGGAGAGATAGCTGGGCAATCTAAGTGCCTGCTGGCAAGCACAAAACCCAAGTTCGATCCCTAGTACCACATGTTATGCAGTGCTGGCCACTGAAACCAGGCATGGTGGTGCACGCCTGTAATCCTAGCGCTGGGTAGGCTGGGATAGGAGGATCACTATCAGTCTGAGCTGCATAATAGGTGTCATACCAAAAAAATAAATAAAATATGAATAAATAAAGTAAGGTTGGACTTAACAGGACTGTGCCCTGGGAAATCAACAATGTTCATCAGAGGACTTAGCCAGGGACTGTTTGCTGACATTGTGTCATAACATGAGATGTTGTAATGCCACATTGCTTGTCAAGGTGTTGTATCCAGTGACACAACCAGTCAAAGTGAGCACTGGTTATTGCACAACAATGGAAAGAGAAAACATTGACATAGCACTTCAATCTTGCCATGCATTTCTCTAGGAAGTTTTCACACATTAATTTAATAACTTAACCAATGACAGTACTCTCTCATCCCAAGGAGATTGCAAAACTGATCCTCAAAAGGAAAATAACATAAAGAAGTTACCATCTCAAAACATTCTAATCTATTATTCTGAAATTGGGGGTATTGAAAAATAAAGGGCTTCTTATTTTCCTTTCAGATGGAAGAAATAAATGTCATGTGCCTATTAAAACAACCAGGATATCATTAGGGTGGTAATTACAGAGCCAATTTCTCTTTGTCTCAGTAGATTGATGCCAGAATTGATGGACTGCTGCCAGTGCTGCGGCAGTTGGTGCATTGCTTAATGCCCTTTGATGGCACCTGGCAGTGCAGACCAAAGAGGAGAACAACACAGGCCCCAGGGGAGCCTCTGTCCAGTCTCCTGTAGAGATTTGCTATTCACTGTGGGCACTTAACCTTCATGCCTATATCCATCTTGGTAAGTGAAATCAATGATAACTATCTCTTTACCAACTGTATTGATAATAATACCTGGATTTTTTTTAGCCAAAATTCTAAGTTTATGTTCCAGATAACATGAGGAGAAATCAGAATTCCTGTTGCTTTTGGATTCATCTTCAAGCTCCAAACAAACAACAGATTTGTGCTTCACAGAGGACATTGCTCTGCTTTCAGCAAATGGAGCAGGGCTGGCCCAGACAACAGAAGCAGAGATTCAAGGTTAAACCAGACCTGCATCCACCACCCTCTCCTTGGTAGAGCTGAAGAGGACAGGCTCTGCTAGAAAGCTTTGCTACTTTCCTCCCTCCATTCCTGTGTCCACCAAGAACAGCAATTTGGCAGCTTCAAAAATCCTGGCCCTTAGAACACTGTGTGAGGCAGCTACACCTTCCTAGTCTCGGGCTCTTCAGTATAGTTACAAGCTATAAGAAGGAAAAACTGGGATGAGGAGAAGGAGAGGGCAGGGGAAGAGATATGTTTATGTTTGTATGCACGATGGCTGGGATAACTGTACTGCTGATTTCTGCTGGTCTGCAGAAGGGGTCATTGATGCTCTTTTTTCCTTGTTCTTTTTAATTTATAACTTTTTTCTTTCTTTTTCTTCTTTAAACCAATTTTGCATGCTTATATCATCTAAACAATTAATTTGAATATTATAGGTGTGTTAACCCAGCAAAATATTCTAAAAGAGTCCAGTAGTTAACACACCTATAATATTCAAATAATGGAACTAAACAAAAAAGGAGATATAGGTGAATGTCCATTTTGTATCTATGTATTCAAAATGGTTAGGATAGATATATAGTTACATTCTCTTAATGAATAGAGGAATTTGTTCTAATAGAGTTTGTAAATAGGATATCATGTCCTCATCTTGTACAGCAAATAACCACTAGGAAGAATGTATGCAATGTGTTAATTATTGAAACTGTCCTACCAATTTGGTTTGAAACTGTCTCATCACTCTTTGTTTATCAATAAAATTATGGAAAAAAATAATAAAAAAAGAATACCCATCTCTGACAGGACTAAACAAAAAAAGGGGATACAAAGGAAGGACCATTTTGTATTTGTATATACAGAATAGTTGGGATAGATATATAGCTACTTTTGCTTAATTCAATGAGAAGAAAGATTTGTACTAATAGTGCTTGGACAGGATATCCTGTCTGCTTCTTGTACTATGGATAATCACTAAGAAGATAACAATGTACAAGTTATTAATTATTGAAAATCTCCAAATAATCAGCTTTGAAACTGTCTCATTGATATTTGTTTCTCAATAAAACAAAATTTAAAAAACAAAACAAAAAACATTAATTTGAAGACAACATTATGCAGCAACCATTGTTGAATTCCTGTTGTTTTGTTTGATGAAGTTCTATATTTTTTCTATTTTGTTTTTACTATTTTTTATTAGAGAATGAAAATAAAATAAAATAAGGTACTGTTAGCCTCCTGGCTACAGGCTGAAAGAAACAATTCCATGCAGACTGGAAGGAAGAACTTTTACTTCCACTGAAAAATTTAGTATGACAATCAGTTTTATAATCAAAATCTTACTTTTAAACTCAGATTATTTCATAATTTTCACCTCTAATTTTCCCACAGCCATAGAAATTCTTCCATTTTTCTACCATTCTTTCACTGCCAAAATTTAATTATATATATAATATGAAATTATATATACAATATATAAATATATATATTAAGCCCCTCAGGGTCAGAGGCCTTCATATTCATCTGTTTGATAAACACATAGCAGAATTCTTGAATTATAGTAGTACTTGGTGTTTGTGGGTTGAATAAAGGAATGAAAGGCATAAACATTAAATGTGCATACATATCAATACTTGATGAAAAATATCTGTTCCATATTATGCCTAAGATGTTTGATATGCAGACAGATAGTGAGGTTATGCTTAACAGCCTAAGT